AGCCTCTTGGGGTGTAGCTTCGTCTGGCATCTCAGGGTCACGGGGCTCCCCTCACGAGGCTCATGAGAGGGGATGGCGCTCAGCACAGGAGGCGGGAACAGCTCTGGGGAGAGAGGCCAGGGCTCAGGAGGGGAGTCCTGGACAGTGAGGTCCCAGGAGCCTGAGGCCGAGCTCTGGCACATCCCAGACCAGGGACCTGTGCCCTGTGGGAAACGCTGGCACTGTCTCCCAGCACCCGGCCTCTCACCCCGCCACCAGCTCTGAAACGACCCCCACACCCATGAGCCCCTCTGGGGTCCCAGAAGGCCAGAGCCAGAAGGGCCCCCGAGGTCACCTAGTCCCCAGAGGGGAAGCGTCAGGCCCAGGGCTCAAGGAGGGTGGGCAGCAGGGATCCTTCTGGGCTCTTTCCCGCCCCCACTTCAGGGCAACTCCCCTCCTTCTCTGGCTCCAGACATGCCTCATGGTGGGAGCAGGGCGTGTGGCCGGCATCCTGGATGTCTCAGGGCCTGCAGATTGGCCCAGCATCAGGGGCCACCAGAAATACGGGGCTGCCCCGAGCACTGCTGACCTCTGGACACCAGACCCCTGAGGAGAAGCCTGCTCCCCCAAGCTCCCCAAGTGGTGACTCACCTTGGACTTGGACCATGACAGTCCCTGAGGCCCGTTTGTTCACATGTCGGCCGGAGGTCACCTGCCCAGCACAGCTGTACCGGCCACTGCTCTTCACTGTTGCCGTCCCCATGGACAGAAGCTGGTTGTCCTTAGAGAAATGGAAGGGTTTTCCATCCCTGAAGAAATGCACCCGGGACAGGGCTGCGTTCCTCTCTCCCGAGCATTGCAGAGTCAGGACATCTCCTTCAAACACGGGGTTTGGCCAGACTTGGAGTTTCAGCCAGGCTGTGAGACACAGGAACAGGGTCACCCTGGAGCTACAGGTCATCAGTCCATTTGCTCCCTCTGTCCTCCAGCCCAAGGCCTCCCCAGGATGGAGGCTCCTGGACGACACCTTCGCAGTGGTCACTGACCCCAGTCCTTCACACCGGACCAGGGCAGGACCTCTGCATTCCTCCATCCCCTTCCTCTCCCCTTCATCTTTCCTGCGTCTCTATTCCCGTCCCTCCCCTCCCGTCCTCTCCCTGTGCCTGCCCTCTGGCCTCCTTCTCTCCTACCCTCCTGTTCTCCTTTTACACTGTGCTTTCCTCCGTCCACCACCTTGACAAGCTTGAGTCCAGTCGGGTTTTTTCCCATCCATTGTTCTGCCTCATTCCTCTGAATCTGATTCTCCCTTCCCTGGATCGGTTTCTTTTTCCCTGGCGACCTCAGTGTCATTCTGTCTGCAGCGCCCACCTCTGCTGGTAGCTGCACCACTGCCCAGCAGGGAGGAGCTGGCAGGTGGGTGTTGGAAGGGCCATGGCTGGGATCCCTCCCTCCCACTTCCCTCATCGGCTTCCCTAGGCCCAGCCCCCACTGGCACTACCTCCCAGCCACGCCGTGGGGTTCATTTCCACTACGCTTATGGGGAGGGATCTGTCAGCTCTGTCCTCATTTCTTTTTATTTATTTATTTTTTTTGGCCGGGGTGGGGGGAGGTAATTAGGTTTCTTTCTTTCTATCCTTCTCTCTCAGATACCGGGGATTGAACCCAGGACCTCCTGCATGCTAAGCATGTGGTCCACCACTATAACCTCCCAGCTCTGTCCTCATTTCTAAAATGCAGTTTATGTCCTGACGTGGGCAAGAGAAGAGCTCCTGGGGACCCAGCATCATCCGCAGGGCTGTCCCAGGCTGGAGCTTTCACATGAGGGAGGTCAGGGGGACGGGCGGGGCTGGAGGGCAAAGGCAGCCGAGGGAGAAGCAAGGCTGACCCACAGACAAGCGTGCCTGCTTCTCTGAGCTTTAATGAGACAGAAAGGGGTCCAGGGCCTTGATGAGTGGAGATGACAGGGGCTCCAGAGCCACACTGAGCGGAGGAGACAGAGGCCAGGGCTACTCGTAAAGGAACCGGGTGGAGGCCCAGAGCCATTCTGCTGGCACTTCAGTCACCCTGTGATCATCGGCAGCCCGAGACAGCGCAGTCCTGGGCCTCTCCTCCTCCTGGGCGCGAGGGAAGACTCCTGAGGACGAGGCCTAGTCTGGTGCTGCTCTGAAGGTGCTTCTGGGGGACCCAGTGGCCCCGTCTTGTCCCTGTCTACTAAGTGTTGGCCCTGAGACACACTTGGAGATGAAAGGGACACAGACAAGACTCACCTGTTTCCCCAATGCAGGGAACTGCAAGAGAACAAAGGGATAGAATTAGATTAAGCAGCCGAGAAAGCTTTCTGACAAGGAGGCCCGGCACCTCATACACAGGTGCCAACATCCATTCAACCAATCAGCCACCAGCCCCCTAAGCACCTAATTGTCTAGCCACCCTCTTGCTCAGTCACCAGGCCACCCGACCACCCCGCCACTCAGCTTTTATGGTGGACCTGCTGCCTGGACTCCTTTGCCTTATCTCAGTTCAAATGTCTTCTTCTTAGGTCTTGCTGGGACCCCTGAATCAAAAGAATTCTCCATCACTCTCACAGTGCCCTCTTGTATCACCATCACAACTCTTTGCACTGTTTGAAATGATCTTATTCATTCAATCGCTTCCTTGCCATCACCTGTCTCCCTCTATCTGGACTGTCAGCTCCATGAGAGCAGGTACGCTGCCTGTCTTGTTCACTGCCATGTCACCTGTGCCTGGACCCTGGTCCGTGTTCGAAGAGCACATGTTGAGTGAAAGCATGGCTGCTTTCCTTCGTGCCCACTCCTGTGGGGCAGGGAACTAAATGCAGCAGATGTACGACTAGACCATTGTGCTCAAGTGCCTGAGGGTCCTAATTACACCTACAGAGGAACGCAGAGAGCAAAGGCGGGACCTGAGTCCTGGGGCCCCATCTGGCCACAGAGCTCTGGGGAACAAAGTACAGAAGTGATCGGGGGAAGGAGGTGAGTTTTCCTGGGAGGAATAATCATCACAGGGCTGTAGGACATGGACAGGTAGCTGGGATGGGTGGGGGAACAATAAACAGGCACTGTGCCATGCCCTGTGTGTGCTGCGCTGGTGCTTTTAGACGAATGAATGTTGGAGCAGACTAGGTGAGAGAGGCCAAGCCAAGAAAGGATGAGCGATGAGGTGAGACAGGTGTGAACAGCTCAAGGGATGGAGGACCCTAAACCCAGGGGCCCAGGTGTATTTAACGGCATGGAGAATATTCTGGACTTTGAGGCAAGGGGTGAAACAATGGACGGTGTAGGGTTGAGTGCATTCACTTGTGTCCTTCATTGCTGACGTGGCCTGGGTGCCAGGCAGAGCCCTGAGAGACCCAAGAATGGCCTTGGGCGGGGAGGTGGGAGGAGACCCCTCAGCAGACGTACGGCACGCGCGTTCACAGGCTGTCCTCCTTGCCGTCCACGCTCCCTGGGGCAGACGGAGGCTTTTCAGCCTCACTCCGTACCTACTCAGCTCAGGGCCAGCCCAGCTGCAAGTTCTCTGCGTGTGCAAAGTTATGAGTCTCCTTCCTACCATCCCGCATCCCCCCCACCTCCACACCTAAACACGCCTTCCGTGAGCTTGGAGTAGTAGAGAGCATGCGGGCTTTGGAACCAGAGGACCTGGACTGGACCCGTGAGTCTGTCTCTTTCTGTGTGACCTTGGGCAAGTGGTTTAAAGCTCAAGAGCCTCCATTTCCTGGTTCTGTCTGTCTGATGGAAACAGTAATAGTCACTCTCCCCTTGCAGAGCAGTCACGTGGATCACACTGACCCACCGCCTGGGGAAGCGGGCACGATGTTAACCGAAAACAGCAAGAAAACCTGACCTCAGGGTGACTGAGACCTCACTGGGCAGTGATGCCACTCCCTCTTTTCCCGTCTCCATCGGAAAACGATTTTGCAGCTACAAAGTGACGAACAGACAGAGCTGAGGGCCCTGAAGCCTGTAACAGGAGAGAAGGCATCCAGAGAGCAACAGACACTTCAGATGAGCGTGTGTCTCCAGATCCCCACAACTGGGGCACCGGGGCACTGCCAGATCTTGGGGCTGTCATTGCAGAAACACTGTCTGTAACAAGACAGCCACCAACTGGGGACGCACAGAGTGGGTGGCACCTGCTTACAGTTGTTCCTATGAGGACCCGGGGGCCTCAGTGAGCTACAGGCTGAAGATGAGGTGACAGTGTGACAGGAAGCTGAGAGTGATTGTCAGGCTAAGTTGCACCACAGGGTCCCTGACAGTGGAGGCGGCAGCCCCACTGACCCTGCTCTCGGCAGGCAGGCCACGAGGGGAGGGAGGAGAAGACCCAGCTCCTGGCCCAGCGACCAAGCACATCAAGGCCAAGCAGACCAGGACAATGAACAGGGTCGAGAAACCGTTTCCTGTCAGAGGGACTGGGTGACACTTATTGGAGAAAGATGAGACAGCGTAGGGGTTACATAGTGGCCTTCAAATATTTGGTAGGGGAGGGACAGTTACTTCATAGGGCAGAAGAGGAACTAATTCATGGAAATGAGAGCAGAGAGGCAGGTTTCAGCTCCGCGTGAGGGAGGATCTTACAGTCGGGCTCTGCCACACTGGAACATTCTGCTTTGCCAAGCGGTGGCTGCCATGCAGCTGGGGGGTTGCGTATTGTGGACCTTGTGCATGTACGTGAGGGTGGCCGTCAGTGCTGGAAGTGATGCTGGCCAACGCACAGCTCAGGAGAAGATAAAGGTTCATCTCCTAAACTTCAAATATTTGAGGAGGGTATAGCTCAGTGGCAGAGTGCATGCCTAGCATGCATGAGGTCCTGGGTTCAATCCCCAGTACCTCTACTAAAATAAATAAATAAACCTAATTACCTCTTCCCGAGACAAATAAAAAATCCTCCCCAACAAATTTAAAAAAAGGTGAAAAACAAAATAAATATGTCTTTAGTGTAGAGTCATGCACTGATACCCAATACTTGTAATGGACACCATTTATTATGTGACCATGCCGCGGCAGGCACTTTAAATACATTTTATTTTCTAGTTTTACCTGATTAGAATCCAACCGCATCCAGACAAGAGGTAGTGAAGTACACTGGAGAAAGCATCGGGGTTTGGCCTCAGATGGACTTGGGCCTGCATCTCTCTTTTGCTGTTGCTAGCAGGGTAGTTGTAAGCAAATTTCTTAACGTTTTTGACCTGTTTCCTCAACTGTTTAATAGGGATAAAAAATATATCTGCCTTATAACATCCTGAAAGTTAGATGAGATCATGTATGTAGTACAGGGTAGGCATTCAGGGTTTTGTTCTTTTTTTCTTTGTCTCTCTGGCCACATCTGAGGAAAACTAGCACCCGAGAGGAAACGGAGCTCTGTCCTTACGATAACTCCGTTCCTTCACATTCAGCCAAATCTTAGGCTGGCTTTCCGGGGTCCTGAGCATCAAGTGTGACGCAGTCAGGCCTGGGTTCTCCATACACTGTCCACTCATCAGCCAGTCACAGACTCTCCCTCCTTCTCCCCTCTCTCCTGTCCAGATCCTGGGTTACACGCTGGGAAGCTCTTAGACTTGATCTGGTCAAGTCCAAGGGCAATTCCTTTCACCAGGTAGTGATTTGCGCTTGGGACGCTCCCCTCCGGAGTACGCGCAGGCGCGCGGCCATCCCGTGCCCGCCCTCAGTGCAAGCATTGACCTCCGCACTTGTCCAGGCGGCCATTCATAGAACACACAGGGCACACGGAGACGTCGGGGAAGGAAGAGCCCTGAGCGGGAACAGGTGTTTTCTGTCCCAGGGCTAAATTCCCACAACCTCTGTCCAGGAAGAGAGTGTATTTAAGAATGGTTTTGCTTTTGGTTCAGTGAAAACAAACGACTGGGATCAAGTTTAAAACAAAAAGTCAGTCAACTCAGAAACCGTCAAGTGAAGAGAAATAAATGCCCAGACTTGTTTCTTTCAGGTGTAGCTGGGGACAGCGGCTGAGACTGAGCTGAGTCTGGGGGAGACCAGTAACCCACCCGCCGCAACAACCCTCTGCCTGCAGACCAGTCCCTTCAGTCACGGGCTCGGGTGACTGGCCCCGGGGTTAGTGGATCAAGGAGAGAGATATGAATTCAGAAGAATCGCTTTGATCCTGCAAATCGCTCCCATGGACAGTCAGACCTGAAACAGACACCCTCCACCCCCTCCAACCAGAGAGAAGGTGCAGGCAAAAGAGGAAAGGTCAGTTTGAAGAGGGCTTTGGACATTCAGAGCATAAACCTCTTGATCAAGTGAGAAGCCCAGTCATTGCTGGCTGGTTCTAAGAAAAAGTCGAGGCTTCATGAAAATTATTTCCTAAAACCCCTTGCTCACCTTGCTGAGCGAAATGCGGGGAACTTCTTTTTTCCCTATTCCCCTGATCTGTCCTCTGACACCCCCAGCAGCCTCCTTTCCTTCTGCAATTCCGTTCTCTTTCCGAGATAGCCCTAATGGCTATTTTAACCCGGTTTTACAGGGTAAAAATGTCACTGGGCCTCCGAATGTGATTTTCTGCCTCCCTAAATTAGCTCTGATACATCGAAGGGTTGTCCTTCGAAGGACCCAGGAAAATGGAATAGGAAACGGTGGGCCTCCCCCACGCCCCCATCCCATCGCTCTCAGGCAGGCCCACGTGCACACCCTTGTCTCAAACTCCAGCCATCAACCCACTTGAACTGGGAAAGGTGAAATCAGGAACTTGGTGTCTCAGGAGCGACTTACAGTCTTTGGTGCCCAGGAGGGGATGCTCGCGCTTGCTGACTTACCCAAGAGCAGCACAGCCGTCCAGAGCAGCATGGGGCCTGGTCTGGCGCCGAGGGAACACAGGACAGACTGACTGAAGGCAGGGGCGAGGCTGGCAGGGGGAGCACGTGGGCCACAGGGTGACCCCTTCTGAGGCGGATGGTGTTATTGCTTGAAAATCTAAGTACAGGAAGTGGGGAAGAGGAAACTTTTAAAGCACAAATTGATGTTTCTTCTTTGGTAGAAGGGCTGTTACACGAATGAATTTTCTTGACCATGAAGCATATAAGAGTCAGGAAAATCACTAGCTAGCCCTTTTGGACTCTCTTCCTGGGGTTTGAAAAAGCTCAAGCTAGGAACTACGATGGGACATGGCTCCAGAAAGATCCAGAGACTGCCAGAAGTCGCTTGGTCCCAGCATCACTAAGTCTGGAAGGTGGCATAGCCCTGGAAACATTAAG